TATTTATTTAAAAATAATTTTTTTTTAAGTCGAAACGGACCAACAATCTAGTAAATGTTTGTTATTTTAGGGTTACGTTAAATAAATATTGGATACATTACATTTTTGTTTAATTTTTTGAGTATTTCATGTAATTTCATATGCATGAAACGACATTGCCAAACGCCGAGTATCAAAAACAATAATTTTTCAAATTCACTGCGTAGCTTAATACCTAAATATATGATATACTGTTTTTTTTCTTCTTCGAAGACATACAATATTTTTAACTCCTTTTCAAGAATAGTTCCACGACATTAAACAATATTGAATGAAAAATATGGATTTCAAGCTGAAAATCACACATAAATATTTGGCAATTGAACAATAATTCATAACTGGGTGCATATCAATAACTGGCACTTTACCCTAACACTTTTTGCGCATATGTACATATCTTCTTGACATACAATTTTGCAGGGGCTATTACCATGAAGCTAATGAGACTTCAGCTTCGGACTCCCACGTAGAAGAAGCTCTCGAGAGCTCTTTATTTGCTTATTTTTTAATTTAACTCCTATCCAGAAGCATACAAGAATAATCTTATTATTCTTGACAAATATAAATAACCTCCTAACTTTCTCTTTATTTAAACGTAATATCTGCGAACTTATTATTAATGCATTTAATAATGATGTATATACAATTCTTCTTTGTGTTAGGTTCTCAAAACCTAAGAATAATTAATTCCTTTTTGCATCTTCATTTCATAACAGTCCAGCCAATTGCAGACAATTAGACAGTCAAGCTATTAAAATAGCCTACTAAATGCACTTAATAATGATTTATATACAATTCTTCTTTGTGTTAGGTTCTCAAAACCTAAGAATAATTAATTCCTTTTTGCATCTTCATTTCATAACAGTCCAGCCAATTGCAGACAATTAGACAGTCAAGCTATTAAAATAGCCTACTAAATGCACTTAATAATGATGTATATACAATTCTTCTTTGTGTTAGGTTCTCAAAACCTAAGAATAATTCATTCCTTTTTGCATCTTCATTTCGTATCAGTCTAGCCAATTGCAGACAATTAGACAGTCAAGCTATTAAAATAGCCTACTAAATGCACTTAATAATGATGTATATAGAGTTCGGTTGAAACCGTGATACTGAGCTGACGTGTTTGTCAACACCGAGCGTGCTGTGAACGCGAGTGCCAAGTACAGTGCCAATCAAATCTTATAGGTATTCATGATAGTCTGTGTTACTGTGAATTAGTGAATATTACTAAATTGTTATAAACCAACTTCTTAACCCATTTCTACGCCATTCTCGGTGCAACCTATTCACCGAAATGGCTTCTGACCACGGAAATTTGGTACCCCAAACTGTTAATAATGATTCTAACGCACCACGACGAAGCTACAATAAGGTAGTACAAAGTGATTGCTTCCCCAAAAAAGATCAAGCGATCATAATCGAAGCCAAAGATGGAATTCAACTAAGAGATGACGCTCATGCATTAGGCAGAATTACCAATCCAGCGAATATTAGATTTATGTCAAGAGTATCCAACGGTAGAATTTGTGTCTTTTTGGCGAGTAAGAAAATCGCGGACGACCTCACCGATAAATATAAACACATTAAAGTTAACGGTATCGATGTAACCGTAAGGCTGTTAATCAGCAAAGCTCAACGTATAATACTTTCAAACGTTTGCCCAACAATCCCTCACTCAATAATTGAAGGAATACTTGATGAAATTGGAGTAAAAAGAGAATCAGCTGTATCATTCCTAAGAGTTGGCATGGCAGAAGAGGGTTTTACGCACATCCTCAGTTTTCGTCGCCAATTATATGTCCATCCAGATGACACACACAAAATCCCAGACTCAATCAAAATTGAATATGAACAAACCACATACTGGATTTATCCTTTCACAGATACATTAAAATGCTTCATATGTAATAAAGAGGGTCACGTCGCAAAAAACTGTAAAACCGAAAAAAACCAACCCTTGCTATCTGAATCTCCACAAACAAGTGTCTTTATAAAACCTCAAGACCCCAAAATAGCGCCAATAGTATCAAATATTGATAGTACAAACATGGCAAAAGAATCAGAAAACCCTAGGGACAATACGGCAACAGAAACCATGGACATAGATCCATTGATCAGAACCTCAAAACGCACAAGATCCGAAATGACCGACGATTCAAGCCTCACCACAGAAGGAACCAACGATTCAAACCACGCCACAGAAAAATCAATCAGTCTTCAACAAATCCTGGAAACTGAATCGAAATGCAAGCAGCCAAAGAAAAAACCAAATGTTGCAACAAAGAGCGATAAAAGCATAGATGACATGTTGCAACCAGTTAAACACGTACTAGAAGAACCTGGTAAAATGTTAAACTTCTACCAACTTAAAAGCTTTATTGAAAACACACTTGGATCTCCCAACACTAGAGAGATTGCAACAGAATACACAGACGACGTAGAAGCTCTAGCGAATTTTATGAAAGAGATATACCCTTACCTCACAGACCGTTGCATCAAAAACAGATTCACAAGAATCACGAGAAAGCTAGTTAAATCTACCAAGGCTGATCACTCAATGAGCTCTCCTACTCCTTCGGATTGCTCAGATACTCCTCAGTGCTCCGAAGACGAACACACCAATTAAATATCAAACAAAAAATACCGTTCAATAAGTATAAATGCTAAGGAAGATTATACAATGGAATCTTAATAGTTTCAAAGCACGTTTTGAATTCTTACAAAAATTGCTCCAGGATCATCGGCCATGTGTATTATGCCTGCAGGAAACCAATTTCAAAGCAAATGAAACTATCAGTATTAAAGGTTTTAAAGTAGTCCAAAAAATAGAAGGAATGCCTTGATCGCGAGCGGCGGAGTAGCAATCTACATGAAACAAAGCCTAAATTACACAGAAATACCGCTAAACACTAATATTGAAGCAATTGCGGTCTCAATCATTCTATATCAAAAAGAAATATGTATATGCAACGTCTATATTCCAAATAACCACCAATTTCAAGAAGCCGAATTAATCAACATTATAAAGCAACTCCCCAAACCTTTCTTATTAATGGGAGATTTCAACAGCCATAATACAATGTGGGGATCTGCAAACACAGACACTAGAGGAAAACTAATTGGAAATATAATACTCAAATCAGATATCATCTTGTTGAATAATTCCGAACCCACTCATTTCAACATGTCAAATGGCTCTTACAGCTCAATAGACCTAACCTTTTGCAGCCCCAACATTTTCAACAGCACTAAATACGAAATTTCAACCGAGTTATATAACAGCGACCACTTTCCCATTATCATTGAACTAATAGACAATAATGCTGATAACCATATAATACAACCTAGATGGAAATTCAAAAAAGCCGACTGGCCGCTATACCGCCACGAAATAAATCAAAACCTTCCATCATTACAAACGCCTGATGCCTCAAACTGTTCGGAAATAAACCAAATATTAAAAGAGTTTGAAGAATTAATCATCCATGCTGCCACAAAATCCATACCTAAAACATCAAATAATACAGAGAAAAAAATATCCCTTGGTGGAATGATGAATGCTGCAATGTAATTAAGGAAAAGAAACATGCCTTCAACGTATACAAAAAACATAAAACTGATTCCAATTTAATAGAGTTCAAGCGGGCAAGGGCCAAAGCAAGAAAAGTCCTTAAACAAGCAAAAAAGAATTCGTGGATAAATTACATCGCATCCTTAACAAAGACCACTCCATGTGAACAAATATGGAATAAACTGAAGAAAATTAATGGCCAGAAAGTAAGTTCCCAAATTACTGCAATCAAGAGTTCTGAAAACTCAATTACCATAGACGCTAAAGAAATTGCCAACCTTCTAGCTACTACTTTTGCAAATAATTCGAGTAATAAAAATTTCGACCCAAACTTTCTCAAAATTAAAGCTAGAGTTGAAGAGAATTCAAGACACGAGCATATCATCTCTCAGACGAGCAACCACCCCCTTAACATGAAAATTCTTCCTACAGAATTAAAATCGGCGCTAAAATCTGTTAAAAATTCCAGTCCAGGACCCGACAACATTCCAAATATTTTTATACAACAACTACCAAAAGCAGGAATAAATTATTTATTAGATATCTATAACTGCATATGGCTGAATGGTGTCTTCCCTACCAAGTGGCAAGAAGCAATAGTAGTGCCCATTCTAAAACCTGGAAAAAACAAGCTTCGAATCGACAGCTACAGACCTATCGCCCTGACATGTTGCCTATGCAAACTGCTAGAGAAAGTAATCTGCAAAAGACTGCGATGGTATTTGGAGACCAATAACCTACTAGGAAAAAATCAAAATGGGTTTAGACAGTATCGTTCGACGATGGACAACCTTGCAATGTTAGATATAAACATTTGCGAAGCCTTCCTTAGAAAACAACATCTAATAGCAATATGCTTAGACATTGAGAAGGCTTACGACATGCTTTGGAGACACCGAATAATACAACAACTTATAAAGTGGAACATAAGTGGAAGCATGATACAATTTATATACAATTTCCTAAAAGCAGATCTATATATGTCCGTGTCAACGGCAATTTATCCAAGAAAGTTGAAATCTTAAATGGGGTACCGCAGGGATCTGTACTAAGCGTAATTTTATTCTTGATTGCAATAAACGATATCGCTGAAGTCTTCTCTAAACCAGTTAAATACACCATATTCGCTAACGACTGTACCTTCTTTATAACTGGGAAAAGTCTAAGCACCAGTCAGCAAATCCTTCAAGACAATTTAGATAGACTCCAAAAATACGCCCTACAAACTGGATTTAAATTCTCAAAAAACAAAACCACCGTTACAGTTTTTTCAAAACAAAGAACAACACAAAACCACCAACTACAGCTACACTTAGGCCAGCACCAACTCTTGATAACAAGCACTCCAAAAATCCTCGGTCTAATTTTTGATAACAAATACACTTGGATGCCATTCCTTAAAAAGCTCAAAGAAGAATGTGTCAAGAGATTAAATATATTGAAGGTCATCGCTTCGAAAAACTGGGGGGCTGAATTCCAAATTCTAATTAATACATATAAGGCCTTAGTTCTGTCTAAACTAGATTATGGATCAATCGTCTACGATTCTGCAAAACCACGCGTTCTAAAATTATTAGCACCTATACATAATGCCGGAGCTAGAATAGTCACTGGAGCTTTCCGAACGAGTCCGGTAAATGCAATTCTATGTGAAGCTGGTCTAATACGACTGGAAACTCGAAGAAAACAACTGAGCTTATCGTATGCAGCAACCAGATTATCAACGCCTTCAAATCCTATCTACGAGAAATTAACTAACATCGCCCATTTCAATGAATTTAAGGAAAAACCCAAACTTCCGGAACCGTTAAATAGTAGAGTCAAAACATACTGGCAAGAACTAAATATGGATACACCAAAAATCATATCAAGAATACAGTATCAAATTCCACCATGGACGATAGATCCTCCTTGCATACTCGATAAAATTCTGAAAGCAGGCAAACAAATTAACCCAAACGTTCTCAAAAGTCTATATACTGAATTATCGAATGAATACCCGTACCATACGCAAATTTTCACTGATGCTTCAAAATCAGGACAGGGGACTGGATGTGCGGTATGCACTCCCGAACATGAGATCCTATTCAGGCTCCCGGAAACATTCACAATATTCACTAGTGAAGCGTTAGCTGTTCTACAAGCCTTGAAGTACATAGAAGAAACAACACATAATAAATCCATCATTCTAACTGATTCTAAAAGCGTCCTACTCGCCCTACAAAATTTGGAAACAAACAACACTGTAATCCAAAACATTATTGAATTAAATGAAACACTTAAGCGAGACAAAAGAGAAGTGTTATATTCCTGGATTCCCTCCCATATTGGTATTGAAGGTAATGAAAAGGCTGATACAGCAGCAAAACTGGCTAGCTCCAGTACAGCTATAACGAAATGTGAACAGGCAACTCATCAAGACATCCAAAAGCATTGCACCAAGGCGCAAACGGAAGTGTGGAATGAAGAATGGAGAAATAGCAGACCAACTAAGCTACATAAAGTTCGAAATAATATACATGACTTCAATCCGGCGCTACTACTAAATAGAAAAGACCAAGTGAAAATAACCCGACTAAGAATAGGACACTCGAACTGGACACACTCATACCTTATCACAAAAACCGAACCAAATTCCTGCGACACCTGTAACGTACGAAATAGTATTGAACACATCTTGACAATCTGCCCTAAATACAATATGAAGAGGATCCAACACAAGTTACAAAACTCACTAACGATCTTACGAGAAACAGATTCCTGCAGAAAAGTTTTAAACTTCTTAAAAGACATCAATGTATACCAATTGCTCTAAATATGATTAGCCCCACTAAGTAACCCAACTGTGGTCACTAATAACCTAAAAGGTGCATGTGACCTAAAACGCTCAATAAAAAAAAAAAAAATGATGTATATACAATTCTTCCTTGTGTTAGCTTCTCAAAATCTAAGAATAACTCACTCCTTTTTGCGTCTTCATTTCGTATCAGTCCAGCCAATTGCAGACAATTAGGCAGTCAAGCTATTAAAATAGCCTACTAAATGCACTTAATAATGATGTATATACAATTCTTCTTTGTGTTAGGTTCTCAAAACCTAAAAATAATTCATTCCTTTTTGCATCTTCATTTCGTATCAGTCTAGCCAATTGCAGACAATTAGACAGTCAAGCTATTAAAATAGCCTACTAAATACACTTAATAATGATGTATATACAATTCTTCCTTGTGTTAGCTTCTCAAAATCTAAGAATAACTCACTCCTTTTTGCGTCTTCATTTCGTATCAGTCCAGCCAATTGCAGACAATTAGGCAGTCAAGCTATTAAAATAGCCTACTTTTAGCTGGAGTTTTTCCCGCTTGGGAATGACCATTTAACTGTAGCTTTCGCTACAAAAATCGAAGCTAGCAGTACGTCAATCACAGATACTGACGAATCTAATTGGCCGCTTCCAACTAGTCTCTTTTAGTATTTAAGGAAGCAACTCTGTCCATAATGTACATTTTCAACCGAAACTCTCAAGTGGAGACTCTCAATGGAAGATTCTCAAATATACGACTTATCGAACATACAACTCTGATTTCTTTCCTGGGCATCTTACAACAGACCTAACCCACGTATTCTATGTATCTGTATATTATACCTGTGTATCTCTATTTGTACTTTCCCATCTGCAGTGTGTGGTGATTGTTAGTCGACACACAACGTGCAAATACAAAACACGACTTACTGATCAAACGATCGTGCAAGCCCCAACACTCTAATACTATTTTCGCCACTCTCAAAATTGATAACCGCAAGAACATCGTGTTGTTTCTATTTTTAACATATATCCTTGTTCAATTTTATAAGTTGTCGAGTTAAATTTTTAGTAAGTATTTCATTCACTCCACAATTTTGGGTATTAAAAGCCTAAGAAATAATTAGCTGCTCTAGAAATGGTATTAAAAATAAATAAGAATAACTTCTTTTAACACAAGCATTATCCAACTTCATAGAGAAAATGAATACATTATTTTACCACTATTTTATTATTTATAAAATAATACTATTATTTCCAATTAATTTTTATGTTATCCTCCTTATATCAGAACTATGTATGTAAAAATTTTCATATTTTACAGTCAAGATACATTTTGAATGTCCTTTTTTTGTTCTTAATTTTATGCCAAAACTATAAATGTGTAGGTTGGATAAGAATGATAATTATACCCTAAATTTGATTCATAAATATGAATTATTACCAAAAGTTCAAATTGTACATTTAGGGAACGTCATTGTTTCAAAAAAATTTGAAATTTGTATTCTTTTATAAGAACAATACAAAACAACAATTTATATTTACTGTAAAATTAATTGTCGTCGCTAATAGAGGGATATTTTCATAATATTAACCTTTGTCTTTCATGAAAACGTTTCAAAATAAAGAAAGGTCCCCTAAGTCAAATAACTTCAGGCTCCAATAACTATAGATCCGGCATTGGACTTATGAAATAGGCAGATAAAACGTTTGATGAACACAATATAAATGAAAGGATTTAAATGAATTAATAATTTTGTTCTGTCTGAAGTTATACAATCAATAAGTGTTTATACAACGATGAACACAAAAGATTTTTAATGTCAAAATAGAGTGCAATATAACGAACAGTGTATTACTTCATCTTTTCGTGAATCCTTACATAAAGTAAAGCTTTTGGCAAAATCTCTAAAGTAGAATTAAATTATTATTTTGTTAATATATTTTATTACTGTTTTCTAAGCAATGTATTTACATTTGAAACATTTGTAGTTAATTTAAATAAAAGGTTTCATATTTTTTAATTTAATCATTTTACTCGCTGTTTGCTAAAACAATGCATAGAAATAAATGGAAAAAGACAGTAAAAATTTTCAAATTGCTTGTTAAGGAATGTAATCGATGCTATTCAGCAATAAATTACTTCTTTCAGTGAATACTATTAGGTTGTATCGATTCAGGAAAATTGGCGGAGAAGATTTCAGTTTATCGCGGAAATTTAGAGAAATCGTTCTTCGACGAAAATTTTCAATGGAAACTGTTCAGAAGATTTCACAATCGTAAGGTGAATTTGCAATTTGTAAAGATTGTATCGATCAAAAGACGAGAAATTTAACAGGAATGTTCTCTATTTTTGTTGGAAAATCGTATATTTATTGGTTCATCGTCTCGATTTTATGATTTCGATCTCCTTCAGAAATACATTCTTCTTAAAATAAAAATACAAAGGCCTAGTAGTATAATAAAACTAAATTATAAATAAATGTAAACAATATACTTAAATGATACGAATGATTATACTGAAATTGAGACAAATAACGATAGTTATAAAAACAAAAACAGAACTTACAAAACCAAACCATTTGGTTTTTGATTTTTGGTATAATTGTTAAATATACAAATTTGCTGTTTTAATAAGAAAATTAATCGTGGAAATCCATTGAAAAACATACTTAAACTACGAATTGACACATATTAAACATACTCAGAGGTAGTAATTCAAACAAAAGAGGAATAATACGTGGAAATGAGAAAGCAGAAATTACAATTTCGATTTTTAAAATAATTTATTCTCGATATTGAAAATCCATTAGTCACGGAAACCAATAAATAACGATGGCATAATACGAGACGAAATAAAATACATGGTACATTTATTAAATGATAGACAATAATAGAATAATGATACAGAATATTCTTCTTGACTACTGTATGTTTATATCTAACAGAAAATCAGTATGCAATTATTTTTACTTTAAGAAAATAAGAATTTGGAACAGACGACAAATGCCAATTGACAATTACGAAATTCCATTTTACTACGAAATTGAAAGGTTATAACTAATACATATTCAATGACAGAAATATTTTTTAAACGAGCTAGATTAAAAATATTTAAATTTAAACAATGAAAGTTTATAAATGCACCTCTGTATATTTGCGTTTAACGTACAGAGAATTTACTACTTCACGTATAATTAATGCGTGCTACATTTCACAACACATTATTTTATACGATATACGATTTCAACTATACGACACAAATATTACGTAGTTACAGATATGTTCCAATAAAAAACAATACCACGAGTTCCTATCAAACAAACGCATGAAAAACATGTTTGTTGGCTAAAATTTTCACGACACGGGGGAAAAAATTCTACGTAATTTAAAATAATTTTTTGAAATATAAAGTCTCTGTCACCGACGTTCAACAATTTTATTCTATAAAATGCACACTGATCTGTTTGTCACGATAACATAAATAATTTTCTGTCGTCTGGGCTTTCATTGAAACGTTCTCGGAAGCAGTTTATTGTAAATCGATATCTTTTCGCGATGATATTTTTTTACGATGTTATATTTCTCTAGGTAGAGTCGTTGGGCGATTTTAACACGCGTCTGTAAAACATTTTTCAACGGTATTTTTCGAGGAAAAGTATTCAGAACGTTCTGTCAAGCGAGCTGGCGACTGATTGTTACCTGACGTAACGAGAATGTTCCATAGAACCGTGTATACGTTGACACAAGCGTAAAAACTATATGTAATGTTATACATGTGTACATGTTCGAGGTATGAAATTCCAGATTTTGTAAAGCCAACGACACGTGTTACATAGAACAACAATAAAGGTGATCTGTGACGTTTTATAAAAGGGAACTCGTTCTCTCAGATACGTGATCTTTATTTCCCTCACTTTCCAGCTTCATTTTCGTTCTACCTCTTCCACCGCGAGGGACGTTCATATATATTGTACATACATCTCAATAAGATCCTTTTCTTTTTATGATTCTCAAATCAGAAAATGATACAGTATATACGAAACACGTACAGATGTTCCTTCAAGTTTCTCGAGGAGAATTCGATTTTTATTGTCCTTTTACTTTTTTATTTTCATTTATGGATATCATACTTGAGAAAATAGAATATCAAGTAGCACGAGCAAACACTTTTTTATGTTCTTTCGAAGAGTTATAAAATAACGATATCATTCGTAAGTTGAGGTACAAATCTCAAGTGGTACTGAACTTGGGGTTCGCGGACGCCATTTATTTATTTTCTTTTTGACATAATGACAAATACCAGCCTAAAATAAATCTTTTGATTCAATGTACTAAACTCCCCTCTGTATGTCTCGTATAAAGAAATTACAAACTTTCTTAGCGAAGATGCTTATATGGAAGAGAAGTGCAAAAACTGACATCTTTGAAAATATTCGAATATTGACAGAAGCACTCTACTAAGAATTGAGATCAAAAGTTCTGTAATAATATCTTTAAGAAACGAATTTTGCAAACACCTCGAAACGCTATAGAATTACTTTAATAATTATTTTAATCTCGGTGACGTTAACATTGAATCACAAATGAAAACACGATCCTTCTTTATGCAAGTTTTCATCTTGTTTGAAACATTGATTTAATTAATATTTAAGAACGTTATTCTGATCAACATTAGCATATAAAGAGTTCGTGAGCTCTATTAGAATGCCAAAAAAATATTATATTATATTTCTATGTTCATTTTTGGCATGAATAAAAATTTTGTATGGTGTTTCTTTAGAAGCTATAATATGTTGACAAATTTTGAATGATTTCATAGAACGAACAAGGAACGAAAAAATCTTGCTCATTAGTTGTTCTTTAGGGTAATAAAAAACAACAATATCCTATTTTCTGTTCAATTATCTATTTAAGATTATTACCATCACTGATCAAACTTAATCATATTCTTATATGAAAGAAGAAATAATAATGAGAATTATAGTTTCTTCTTTGTATAAATGTTTATGTCT